CAATCCGATGCCTACTGGCTGGACTTACTCGGTTTAATGTAGCACCAGCGACGGCCAGAGAAAGCCTGTCGATTCTAAAAGTGACAAGGTTGAGTTTATTGCGGAGTCATGTGTAAGCTTTATACATGTGAATATAAAATCGCACAAACATCGGGGCGCTCAGCACCAACACACCGTTGCTTCTGGCTTCAAGGACACACAACACGTCTGGAAACTGAGACCTACAGAATAGAACATATAGTCTTAAATTATAAGTGTGTGAAAATATAACTAAGTTGGGAAATTTTTAAAGCAGCGTTTGGTTTGGTTTGGTTTTTACATGTGATTTTTTTTTTTTTTTTACATCCTTTGTATGAGTGTTATCGGGGCCCAAGATAGAACTTAGGTCTAAATAACCACCCAGTGACTATTTCCTACAGCTGTCTATAGCTCTGTAAGTATCTGTAGCGCAGTGAAGGTGGCATAAATAAATGCATAAGAAAAGGAGGCAGGCAGATAGCTGAGCCCGGCATGTCATTCATATATATATACATATATATGCATATATGAATATGTAGTATTTCTGAGCTTAGGAATTAATTCTTTTCATAAGATTGGAGAGTGAGGACAAATTGAGGGACTTGGGGGGGCCTTCTGTGGGGATCCCCAGTCCTGCAGCCCAGAGCACCAAAACAGCCAACAAGACCTATTTCAGACTGCTTGGTGCCTTCAATCCCAAAGAACTGCTGCTTCTTGGAGAGGCTCAGTTCAGCTGCAGAGAACCTTTGGGGTTCTCGTGGATGAATACCCCAGATAGTGCCTTAGAGGAGAGCTGGCATTTAAACTAGCAGGCCCTGGGCCCCTTCAACAACCGTTTCTCCTCAGACACTTTAGCCAGCTTTCAATCTTGGCTTAGTCCAGCTCTGGCAATGGCCATTTGGGTCTGAGTTTGGACAAGAGCATGACATAGAAAAGGATGGATGGTACTCAGTTCCAAGACATTAGCAGAGTGGGAGGCCAGAGACACCAAGAAAAAGGCCACAATTCAGGAGTCCAGAAGCCAGACCCCTCCCAGTCCTTGAGGCTCTAGTTTGAGGCCATGGAAACAGTAAATTGGTGTATTTACTTAGGAAATCCTGGGCACTCCATACACTAAGTGCTGAAATCCCAGTGCCCTGTGGGTCTGAAGGCAGTCGTGAAGCTCTACGGAGGCTATTGCCCAGGTCAGTGAGGCTGGAACTGTGAAATTCCGAGGCAAAATACTAACTCCAAACAGGGGCTTGCAACAGCCCACATATTTAACTATCCTGCAATGGCTAAATTACCTCCCTGTCTCCAAACACACAAAACCCCCAAGGGAGTGAAAAGCCTCTAAAAGTCCCTACTTGAAGAAGAAACCAGAGGCCATTTTTGCACGAAATCTTTGGACTTGTACACGCTCCAGCCGCGAGACAAATAACCAGGCCCCGAGAACGCCCTCCTTCAGCGGACATGATTTGTAGAAGTTTATACGTTGGGTGGATAAGACAATATGAAATGTTCTCTAACATATCGGAGAAAGGAGGAAATGAAGAAGGAAAGGTTCAGAGAGTCAAAAAGAAAAAACTACAATGGAAACAAAAAGAAGAGAGAGTGGAAATTTTAAAACAAGCAATTCAAAGAACCTAGAAGAGTGCGTTCTATCTCGAGGTCCCAGGACTAACACAGGCCACTTGTCCCGCCCCACGCCTTGCAGGTTTGAAAAGCGGTTAGGCTGGGGTGTGACCGCCACCTCGGCGGCCGCCGCAATCCTGGACCTGCTGGTCTGGTGGGCAGGGACCGAGTCCAGAGGCCTCAGCTTGCTCTTTCCCTCACCCCTCCAAGGGGGGTTGCTAGGCAGAACAGAACCGGGTGCAAAGACCCCTGGGGGTGGGCGCCAGTCCGGGACTCTTCGGGCGCTCTGGGCCAGGCTTTCCAGCTCGCCGGGCCTGACCTGTCAGGCGGATTATCTTCGAGGGAGATTAATAGGGGAGGCGGGCTGCAATAATAATCGTTTTGTTTGATGTGACAACTCTGATAGGCGTTGATTTACTTACAAACTGATAGGCTTTTAATTGAGCGCCTCCGCCGAGCCAGAGATGAAAGGGAAGCGGTGGTGAAAGGCGGCCCGCCTGCCCTCCGGCCTCAATACTGATTAGCCATCTCGACAGTGAATAGTTCAAGGCATTTTCAAACTTTTTTCCTCAGCTCTCTTCCCTTCCGCCTTCTCCCCTCCACCTCCTCTTCAAATATCTGCCATGCCCACACCTTTTCTTTTCTTTCTTTTTTTTTTTTTTAAGAAAGCAAATTACGTCCATTGTGTGCAAATAAAATCCGCAGGACGTCCGAGGGTTAGAGGCATTGGGCCTAGCCTGGCGTAATTAATAACCACCCCCTCCGTAGCTTGCTGGGCCTTCAGGGATTTGGCCTCCCCTGAGAGGTGCGCAGGCTAAAATGACGGTGCCTCCCCCCAAAGCCGTGGAACGCAGACCCCCCCCAGACGCCCCCGTGCGTGCGCTGCTCCCACCTTCAGAGTTGGGTTTTAAGGCGGCCAACGGCGGGAGCTGGCGGAGCAGGGAGCCTACCCATGAGCGCTTGCAGTCAGTCACTCTGGGGCAGGAGCCATTCCACGATTCCACCAGGCTTGGAGAGCGGGGTGGCTTCCCCTGAACTGCACTGTGCAATGAGAAAACTACTGGAGTTGGAGGAAAGGGGACGCAGTGAACCTGCAAGCTGAACCCGGAGGTGAAGAAGGACATCCCAGGCCTGAGCTCCTGCTAGCCGCGGTTCCGTCCACGGCGCCAATGTCAATGTCCAGGCCTATCGGAGAGGCTTGCTGCTCTGAGACCACAGCAGCTGGCCAGAGGTGACACCTTCACAGTCACCGCAGGCTGCCAGGGAGCCTCAGAGTGTGGGGCCGCCATTCTGGGAAACTGTCCGGCTGGGACACTTGCCACCGTCACAACCGCCCTGCGGGACCTTGCCACGGTCTCACAGGCTTTTCTTCCTCCAGTGTCTCAGGGGAACCACAAACCTTCCCGAATGCCAGTGTCCTCAACACACCCGCGCGCGCGCGCACACACACACACACACACACACACACACACACAGCAGCAGCAGCAGCAGCAGCACAAACCCCCCCCCTTCTCTCCAAATTAACATTAGTCGAGTTACCATCTCATTAACTTTGCCAACCCAAGGAATCAAGGAATAAAACCAAAACTCCGTGAAAGAAGACCTACGAGAAAATCATAAAACTAACCCCCATCCCCAGAAACTTCTCTTTACCGGAGTGGAGTGAGAGACAGAAACAGAAGGGAAAGGGAGCCCGGGGTTCCGGGAGAGGAACGCGCTGGCCAGCCGAAGGGATCCCCGACAGGACCCCGGAGCGTACCGGTCAGCTGGGGCGCGCGGCGGCCGGAACCAGGTCTCAGGCTCGCCCCCGCCCCGCCAGGGCGCAGAGCCGCTGCGAGCTCCGGGCGCTCCCGGCACCACCATTTATCAAAGGGATTTGACAACAAAAGAAGAGCCCTGCGGAAAAGCGGGGGATGGGGGATTTCAAAGCCTCCCGAGTCCCTCCGAGCCAGGGGGTGTGTCCTCCTCTCGCCCCTTCTACTTTCTGCGAGTTTCTGGAGGTGACCCCGAGGCGGAAACCCAGGAGTGCGCACGCACTGTGCGCCCAGCCCCAGACGCCAGGCGGCTCGCGCAGCGCCTCTCCTCTCCTCCCCAACAGCCCGGGCGACGGGCGCAAATCGAGGGGAACGCCGCCGTCCCGCTCGGCTTCCCGGGAAGAGCGGGCTCGCACGCGGCCGCCCCTCCCTCCCCCGTCCCCGCGCAGGTCAGTCCTGGGCGGACGCCCCTTCACTCTGTCGCGCCCCGGGCAGTCGCGGCTCCCGGGCCGTCGGGTCGCGCGGAGGGTGGTGGCGAGGCCCGGGGGAGCACGAGGCCGGCCGGTTGGCCTCGCGTCAGCCCCGGCTGCGGACAGAACCCAGGGCTGTCCCACCCGTAGCCCCCGGGCCGCGTGCTCTCCGTGGCCCCGTGGCTCTCCGCTCGCGCTGGGCCGGGGCGCTGCGGAGGGCGGCAGCCGCCGGCTTCAAGTTACACGCCCGGGGGTGTCCCAGAGAGGCGGAAAGCCCCGCGGTAGACGCGCCGCCGCTCCCGGGTACCAAGCTCCCGAACTGTGACCCGGATGCACCGAAGCCCCCAAGGGTGGAGGGTGCGTCTCTCTCCAACCCCGGAGGGAGGGAACGCTCGGGGCCGGGGCGCCGGAGTCGGTGCACCTGCGCACTTTATTCCCACTGTTTGACTTCGCGACGGCGGGCGCCTCCCCTCGCCCCTCCACTCTTTTCCTCACACCCCTGCACACATCCCCGGAGGCTGCTCCTCTGGCCCCCTCCTCCAGCTTCTTCCCGGTCTCTTCCTTCCTCTGTCTCACTCTCCTTTTCCCTTCAAGTCTCACCCGCCTTGTAATCAGCAACAAAAGCTGACATAAATCACGGGCAGATTGACAAGAGCTGACAAATAACTGATTGATTGCGGTCGAGGCACATTGACAATTGATGGAGGGGTGGAGATGCCCAGAGAAACGGGGGCTGGGGGAGAGGGTAGCAAGAGGAAAGCAAGAATGGGGTGGGGGGGACTGAGTGTGAACCAGGAGAAACATGTGACCCCCGCTCCTGCCCCAATCTGAGCATCTTCGGGTGTCACGTGACCGGGAAGGGCGGAGAGCCCAGCGCACGTCGCCGGGACGAGCCGCCACCGCCTCCGTTGTCCTTCGAGCTTCTGGTTTCTCCGCCGCTGAGCTCCGGAAATCCAAGCGGGCGGGCGGGCTTCCTCCAACGTCGGCTCTCCGCCTCTCCCTACGCGGGCGGCCACGCCACGGGAGCCGCCAACTGCCGAAAACAGTCCTGTGCCGACCCTCAGGCTTCCCGGAGCGGACTGCTGAGCGGGCACCCACAGCGCGGCCCGCGTCTCTTCTCCCGCCCGAAGTCTGTTGACTCGTTCGCACTCCTCCCTCCAAAGGTTTCCGTTCTCCAGCTGGGAAAAGGAACGACGAGGAGGAAAAAGAAGGAAGGCGGGAGATGGCAAACGCAGAATAAATTGTCCATCTCGTCCGGGTAGCGAAACCGAGGGAGGGGACAGGCCGAGGGGCGGCGAAGAGGGAGCTGCCCATTAAAACCAGCTCTGAGAGCCTCGGCGGCGGCGGCGGCGGCGGCGCGGGACGCGTCACATCCCCTTGACCCTCCAATCACCTCGGGCTCCCATTTGATTGGAAGGCGGCAAAGGCTTTAATCTCCCCCTCGGTGCAGCTGCTTTTGAAGTGAGTTTCCTCCCAGAGCCCGGGCTGGCCAGGCAGCGGCTCGCACCGCGGAGCGCAGCGCCGGCTGGGGCCGGGAGAGCGCGGCGCCGGGCGCAGCCCCCGCGGACCGCGCAGCGCGGGACCCCCGCGGCCAGCAGCGCCTCCGGCCCGCCGCGGCTCCGCCGAGGGCCGCCCAGGATTACCGGCTTCTGGCTCCCGGCGCCGAGCAGGCGCGGGGCTCCCGCGGCCGCCGCGCCGGCTCCTCCTCCAGCTGCTCCCGCTCCCCGGGCGAGCGCGCAGCCCCGAGCCCGCCCCGCGCGCCCCGGAGCCCTCCCCCCGCTGCTCCCATGCGCGCGGGTGGGTCATGAGCACAGCGCCCTCGCTTTCTGCCCTAAGAAGCAGTAAGCACAGCGGCGGCGGCGGCGGCGGCGGCGGCGGCGCGGACCCTGCCTGGACCAGCGCGCTCTCTGGAAACTGCTCCGGCCCCGGCCCAGGCTCGTCCCCGGCCGGCAGCACCAAGCCTTTCGTGCACGCCGTGCCCCCCTCCGACCCTCTGCGCCAGGCGAACCGCCTGCCCATCAAGGTGCTGAAGATGCTGACGGCACGGACTGGCCACATTTTGCACCCAGAGTATCTGCAGCCTCTGCCTTCCACGCCCGTCAGCCCCATCGAGGTAAGGGCTCTCTCAGAGTCACGCTGGGCCCCTACCAGGCTGCCTTACTTGGGGTCTCTCCCCCTGGGATCTGGGCGAGGGGCTGGGACGGGGGGGGGGGGGCAGTCGGAGTGATTCAGCTCCAGGATGGGAGGAAAGGACAGCGCTTCCGCACCATTAGTCGGAAAAGGACAACGGAATGGAATCGGGTGACATTTCTAAGGGGCAAAGCCACCCAAACTTGTCCTTTTCCTATTAAAGCGCCTGTGTGCCTCGCTGTCCCTGTCGGGCCCCGGGCGGACAGGGGCCTGTAGGCTGGCCCTGAGTCGTCTCCCTGCGGCTCTCCAGAAGCTGGTATATTTACTCAGCCTCGGCGGCGCCGGCCGCTCGAGCCCGTACTCTTTAGAATCCAGGAATGTGTGCGGAGAGGAGGGTAGAGTTCTGGGTCTGTGGAGACGAAAACCGAGACGTCTGCGAGAGGTTGTTTCCGAATCTAAGTAGAGCCTCCAAGCCGCGGGGAAGGTCCCAGAGCCGGCGGGGGTTGTGGCGTCGTCTCCCAGAGGAGAGTTTGCGAGGGTGGCTGTGGAGGTGCCGCTTAGGACGGCGCCTCCAAGTGAGCTGCGGCTGGCGGGCTGCTGCGGAGGCCGGGAGCCCCGGAGCCGGGACGCTAAGGGCCGTTCCTTCTCTCACCGGTAACCCCGTCTCGCCCCGCAGCTGGACGCCAAGAAGAGCCCCCTGGCCCTGCTGGCTCAGACGTGCTCGCAGATCGGCAAGCCCGACCCTTCGCCCTCGTCCAAACTCTCCTCGGTCGCCTCCGCCGGGGGCGGCGCGGGGGGCGCCGGCGGCGGCGCCGGGGGCGACAAGGACGCCAAGTCGGGCCCCCTGAAGCTGAGCGACATCGGCGTGGAGGACAAGTCTAGCTTCAAGCCTTACTCCAAGCCCGGCTCGGATAAGAAGGAGCCGGGGGGCGGCGGCGGCGGCGGCGGCGGCGGCGGGGGCGTTTCCGCCGAG